CTTGGAAACTATTTGATAACGTCAGATTACGATGAAACTTCGTTTGTTATAACTTGATTCAACGCACTTAATAATTGCAAAGTATCTAGACCTATATCATCTAGGCAACCATCGAAATTTGTTATATGCCTTTCAATATCATGCATGTTTCATAACATCATCTAAGTAAAAATTTACCTGGATTCATCCCAATAAAAGCATGACCTGGCCACGCACCAAAAATAAGACACTAAGGCCTGTCTGACCCAGCCTAAGGCAAGGCATTTTGGCTAAAATACTTGTCTAGGATAGGTAATCGGCCAGAATCTCGGCCAGCAATCGCTACATTAGGCCTAATTACTTGGCACCACCACAAGCACTTCAAGCTGGCCAATGCCAATGCTGTAGCGGTTATATGAGTGAACAGTGCACCCAATTCATAGACTCAGCGCCTATTGAGAACTTCATAATGCTAAGACCACGGAGAAACATGTACAGACCATATTCATGTATCTGCGAGGATGGCAAGGCCCTGTTTCAGTGCCTAAGCTGCCCCAGGGGACTTGTGCCGGCACTGGAGTGGTCCCTCCGTCCCTCCAGTGAACAAATGGTGCTGTCACCACTAAACACTGTTATGACAGAAAGCAACAACTCGTGATGTGCTGTGGAATTATGTGTAATATACATATGCATACACACACACACACACACGTATATATATATATATATATATATATATATATATATATATATATATATATATATATGCGGCGTTGTGGCCGTCCGTCCCGATAACCGTGCTCTCGTAACTGTGATTTTTCAATCGTTCGCACACACCCCTCAACCTGAACTGTTGGTCACTATGTACCGGTCCCATGGGTTTTCCCACAGGGCCAGCGGCGACCAAGCCGTCGGGCATCTGTCGACTCGTCGTCCGCAGGTCTGCAGCTGCCCGACTTAACTCTGGCTATGCGGTCCTTGAATGACATCACACCCGGTCTGAGTGTGATGCAAGGGATTTATGTCCTGAACGCTTCTGTGGTCGTCAGAAATTCAAACGTGGCGTTCGTGCGAAACGGATCCCATGCGTGGGTTTTCCCTCTAGGAGCATGAGAATGAATATTTCAAACTACGGCTGCCAGTGATACTAAAATATCCCAAGTCAATGCGCTTTGTGCACACAACTGATGCTGCCCACAAAATTTCATGAAAGCCGAGGGCGAGCGGTCTTAAGCGCGTCGGATTATGCCGCGGATTCGTCTGCGGTTGTTTTCCAACGACCGCAGCGACCGCAGAAGTGTGACGTATTCCGTGACGTCATTGAAAATGGTGACGTCATGTCATTGCTTGATGTCACGGAAACACTCGACGCTGATTGGTGTGACTGAAGCGACCGCAGCATTCCGTGACGTCATGCCAGAACTATGACGTCATGCCATCGGATGACGTTGGACCGCAGCGACCGCAAGCGCCGTGAAAAGGTCTCCGTGTTAATTCACCCACCCAATCCGACAAGCTCTTCTCGCGACTCGCCACCTGGCTTGGCTGTGGACTGCCGACCCGCTGGGCCGCCCCAACCAGCGTGTCCCTCTAAGGTTTATAATCTTGGGCATTTCCAATTATGTCATGTGCCAGGCAAAATATTGTCACCAAGTCTGCCACTACGGTGTCACCTGAGTCACCAGCGGATCGCTACAAAATGTGTCTTGTAGACACATCCGGTTGTCAAGTATGAAGATGGGAGGCGGAAGATGGGAGGCGGCTGACCAAAGACACAAGGTGGCTGTGTTGGCGCCTGATAGGCACGGCAACAGATCCCCCGAAGGTCTTTCTCGCTAAAAAAGAACACACACACACACAAGCAAATATTTGATAAAGCTATTTGCAAAACTGGTAAAGCTTTTTGGTGAGCTGCAACAGCACAGTTCGGGTATTTGGCTTGAGACACACTAAATCTTTGCTAAATCCTAGAAAGTACTAAGCAGAGCCTATTTCATCCAGCTCATTATCACCCGCGCAAACCGATCGGAATACATAAGAATATGCAGCATATGACTGGTTTCAGGACTGCGGCGATTCAAGATGTTCAACTATTTAACTCCCCAATTCGTGTCTTGGAAGCCACAGCAGTGCCGTCAAACCCAAAAATGATACAGCCGAATATCTATTTACGAGCAAATCTGTCATTCCAGGGAGTGTTAACGTCAACTAACCACACATTTTGAAGCCTTTGCGACCGAGCCCGGCCCAGCCCGACCCGTCAGTCACTGTTTGGGCAGGCAATCCTGCAAGTCAACCTGTAGGCCCGCAGCCATGTGGTTGCTAGCATTAGGTAGCATGATTTATTGAGCGCTTCGCTATCACATTTGATAGGCATGGTCTTCGCCGTAAATTTCAGTTTTTGTGCCCATTGTGGTTTACCAGATATAGTTTTCAACCGCCGTTGGCAACGGAATCTGCTGGTGTGCGAACTGTTGTGTGCAGCCAGTCATACGTACACGAGCGAGGAGCATGCTTTGATGATTTCACAAGGAGCACCGGTTTGGGAGTGTCCCTCAGGACTGAAGTGAGATCTTAGCAGTCAGAGCAAACACTGAGGTGAAGCTTAGCGGGCTGCGTGTGTAACTGCACCGTCCACAAATCACTAGATCTCCACACTGTCCAACGTACAGCTGTGCCAGTAATAAATCGGAAAGCAGCTTCCGAAACCGTCTTTCTGTTCTGGATTACAAATATAGCCTTATGAGGAACGGGCCATAACAACTGCATGAGCAAAGTCTGATTTGTTATGATGACATCAACCCCTCAAAGCTACGTCACTTGAAGCACATCAGTCGCATGCGCAAGTGCCGCAATCATAATGAACATTTCGAGCATTTTGGGTCTGATATTGGGAGGTCTAACCAGACTTATTCACAATCAATTGCAGGTGGGTCTGGCCGCCTGGCTGCTGAGCTGTCCACGGGTCGTGAGCCCCAGCAAAGGTGGCAGCGCTAAAGCGTGGCCTGCCGCACGACCGCTCGATGTGCTTCATAAACGCGCTGCTGCGATGTCCAATCGACGCCCACGCCCTACATGACATGCCCTGCGGGACGAGTGCTTGAGAGGCATCAACATAAACGCTTCCGTCATGAAGGGCGCACTCATCAGAGCGGTGCGTCATCAAGGATGCACTCATCAGAGCGGGCCGTCATGAAGAGCGCACTCATCAGAGCTGTCCGTCATGAAGGGCGCACTCATCAGAACGTTCCACTGTGAAGGGTGCGCTCATCAGAGCGTTCCACTATGAATGGCGCACTCATCAGAGCGGTCCGTCATGAAAAGCGCAGTCATCAGAGCGGTCCGTCATGAAAAGTGCACTCGTCGGAGCGATCCGTCATGACGGATGCACTCATCAGAGCGTTCCATCACGAAGGGCGAACTCATCAGAGTGTTCCGTCATGAAGGGTGCACTCATCAGAACGATCCGTCATGAAAAACGCACTCATCGGAGCGGTCCGCCACGAAGGGCACACTCATCAGAGTGTTCATCACGTTAATATGCGACCTGAGTAGCTGCTGTCAAGGCAGAGCTCAAGCGGTTTGCGGTCCGAGCCATGGTCTATCAGCAGCAGGACGAGCGGGGGTTTCCCAGATACCTGCTGGAAGTTTGCACAAGGACGTGCACCGCGTCACCGCCCCACCGAAGCCGACGACCAACGATATCGACGGGAGCCTCAGTGCTAATCAGACGTTAATGGAAGTCTGGAGGAAGTGTTTTTCGTCCCTGAAGAACTCCAAATTTGGAGATCTGTTTGTCTTACAGCTGAAGTTAACTCTGTTGTGCACGGTTCGTGAAATTCAACCTGTGCTTGGGCCTGAGCGAGCTGATCCCGTCCAAGGCTGATCAGGTGCAATCGCAAGCCTACTTTGACCTTTTCACCAGGGAAAAGGTGCTTGACGCTGGCGAAAAGTCAACGCGCTCCACGTGCCAAAAGCTCCAGAAGTGCTCTAAGTACGTCCTGAGCCAGGAGTTCCCACGTATCTTGTGGTGCAACTGAAAGAGTTCTCGCTGCAGCAGAAGCGACGCAAAGGCAAGCTCAGCACCACTGTGGACTTCTTCGCCGGTGGACCGGACATCTCGCCTTACATTGACGTACAGGAGGACTGCAAGCACAACCTTCGCGGCGTCACCACCTATTCTGATGTGGTGTACTCGAGCCGCTACTCGGTCCACTGTTAACACCCACATTTGGGATTGATACGGGTACAACGACTCCGGTCCACCCCTATGCGCCACGCCAACAGCAGTGTAAGGTGTGCATACTGTTCTCCGAATTGGCTAGTCGCTGACCACTTGCTGGCCGGAGCGCCAACACTCTATGGGACTCGGGAAGGTGGTCCACCTGACTGGTCTCCCCGGCTGACAGCGGTGCTGACCGAGGTGGAGGTGAAAGTAGCGCTTGCGAGTGGTCATTGACGTATCCAACTTATACACGGACGTGTGTAAAGGTCAGCGTGGACACTCGTAAACTGGTCGCAACATACACATTCAAACACGTGCCTTTCCGAAATCGGTTTGCGAACTCCGTCAGTAAACGTCTGCATGCCGTCATAAAGATAAAGGTTCCTACACATTGATCGGATTCCTCAGCTCCAGAGGTGTTTCATTTCTCCAGCTGATGTCTTCACATTATTTACTTAATGCCAATTATTAACCCCCACGCACATCATGAACCTGACTGGCCCAGGTCGCACAAAGATATCTAACTGTTTCTTATCCATTCGCCGCTAGACCTCATCGGAATCCTGTATTTGTCCGTACATGAAAAGACATCGACAATTTGTTCATTCATTTATTGCGGTTGCGGATATCAATGCTTAGATCCCAGCCATACAAAAAAGTACCTCGCTCGGGGCGGCCGGCCAAGTGTTGTCGCCGGGTCACCAGCGCCTCGCCGCGACCCTAGCGGCGGCTGGCGTAAACACTGCGCTGGAGAGACGGTCGCTCGGCGGCTGCTGCTCAGTCGGGCGAGTGCTGTCGGGGCGTCCGCGTGACGGTCCGATGCCGCGCGCTGTGTGCTGCACGCTGACACGGCATGGCACGCTCTCGAGGGGACGTTAGTGGCGTGCGGAACCTCGGCGGCCGGCATTAGCTCGCTCCGGAGCAAAGCGAGATCGCGGGAAGCGCGCCGCCGCAGAGCGACACGGCGAGAAACACTTCAGAGCTCGGGCGGCGGCGGTGGTGTGGCGTGCGTGACTGGAGACGAGCTTCGGCCGCGTCCGTGCTGGCGGCGGCGCCGGGCTGTGTCGGCGCTCTGGCCCAAGGCTGCCGGTGCGCCCGGGCCGGCCTGCAGGGGCCCGACGCTCTGTTTACGCGCTCTGAGCGCACTACTCGCCGCGGCGGCCGGGTCCAGCGACGCACGCGCCCGGCGGGTCACGGACAATCGTCGGCCGCGGCGCGGCGAACAGCGGCGACGTTAAACTGTGACCTGATGACTCCTGGTGAGGTGCTGGCCGGCAACGGGCGCCGGTCGGCGGCGCTGGCGCCGGCGTACAAGCCGTCAGCGCTGACGACGGTTCTGATGCTGCTTGCTGTCGTCCGAGGTGTCAGCGCCCAGGTGAGTCGCCACCAATCGGCTGGGGTCTGCACGCAGCCGAGCGCTGTCTCTTTCCAAGAGCGGTTTGTATCCCGGCGGAAATGACGGGATCCGTGAGTCCACGACATAGCCTGAAGACGAGTCGGTGTCGTGTCCTGCGCGTTAGGCTTGGCTGCTGCGTGCCGGTGGAATCTGCGCTATCCGGAGGCGCCGAACATCCGTTCCTTGTACCGACTGGCAGTCGTCATCAGTCCCCAGGCCTAGCAGACCTCCTGTGGCCATCGAATATTAGTCAGCCCTGGCCGCCAGCCCCTCCGCTGGTCACGACGCACAAGCTCGTGTCGGTTTACGGGCTGACATGGCTCCCGATGTGGCTTGAGATGCGAGCAATGTCGTGAAATGATTTAACTCACGCAGGTGGGTTCATAAGCTCAGCTCGGCAACAGTTTTGTCACGCAACCTAATCGCAAAGCTGTAGTGAGGCCTATGATGTTGCAAATCAATACACGTTACAAATCCATGTTTTCGGCGACTCAGTTCTGAGTTTTTCAAAAAATGCAATGCCACCTGCTGGGTGCTGTGATAATGGCATGCATTGTTAATAACACGATACCTGATGCTGGCAGCTGCTCAGTCTGCATGGCGAGCGTGAAGACCAGTAATAAGAACCATGCATGTTTTGCTGGCTAAGCTTGTGTCGAACCTTTGATCACGTTTTACAATCACTTACACTTCAGTCTATTTTACAACCGTTCATGATAAGTTGCTGCCTATCTCGGTAATCGAGTACTGTCCTTTTTTACGCAGCTTTTCCGGTCGAACTGTGCTCCCGCCCGTCCATGGTAGCGATATGCATGCTGCTGGCAAGCCCAAGTGTCTGTTTTTTGTAATTTATACGGCAGCCATCCACTCTGAGCGCATGTGGAATAAAATATGTTTGGCAACATAATACTTACACGTGCAGGCGGATTTAGAGAATCGAGTGTCCTTACCACAAATAGTGTCGATTTTGGTGCGGAGGTCATGCTATTGTATCCTGTCGTATTACACCGTGTTCCAGATGGCGTTTTGTACTGGAAGTATTGCGGCGGCGGAACAGGAGAGACACACAGACGGACACACTACATCGAAATCCAATCCATCTTACTCAAGTCGGGGGGTGGGGGGGGGGCAAAATTACGGTTCGGGCTAAGCTAAGTTATGAAAGAATTGCTCAAATTAAACACTTATTTCGTTGACTTCAGTACTTCCTTAGGCTTTCCGTTAATCTTTGAAATGATTACATTTGGAAGCGGCTGTACATTGAAGCGTCCAGCGCTCACTTCTGAGACATTCCCATGTATGAGACTGAAAGTTACCGATGTAAATCCGTGGTATAGCATGCCTGTCCGACTTGAAATATTATGCTCGTTCTCAAAAATTCCATATTTGAAGCCCAAAAACTAGGTTTTAAAAGTTGTTGTGATATTTTCCTTATAAGAAGTTGTCTTAATATGTTAGAAGTTATGGTTTTAAATTACGTAAGCTGTTCAGTGCATTAGCAATTCACATAGATAAGACAGAAGTACTAGCCTTATTCCTCGGAGAAAAACCATGAGTTACTATAAATATTATAAACTATACTATAATACTTAAGTATAATATAATGAACTATATCTCCATTCTTCTGGTTTTCTCCGAGGAATAAGGCTAATACTACTGTCTTATCTAAGTTATGGTTTTGAGAAGCATTAGTCTAATCAGCTTTTTGATTAATGTATCTTTCATTTACGTTAATCGGAACAACTATCTTTTGCCACCGTTGACCGACAACTGTTATATTGTTAAGCTATTCCTTAGCCTCCAAAAATTAACCTACATCGAAAAAGCAGCCCCAAAACATATCCGTGACACCCGATCCGTTGCAGTCATTCTATGGGTGGCTTTGGTCTTGGAGATTAACACCTCTATGGAGATGCGCACCAGAAGTAGCGATACTTCAGTGGGGCGATTCTGGCAATCGTTGGGATTGAACCCACCTGGCCGGCCATAGTTGTGAAAACGACTTTTGACAGGGCGTGATGTGCTTGCAGGTTATGCCAAATACCATCGAGTTGTTTCAAAGCTCATGGGAAATAGTGATGGCAGCTTATGGTAAATACCTTCGAGTTAACAAAAAGTCATTGTCGGCTGGTAGTATTAGTGGTGTCCACAGCTGTGGCCAAACTTCTTGGAATTGACGATAGCTACAACTTTAATACCTTACGTCGCAAGATGTTGGTAAGCTTGTGGATGTCCAGCGACCGCTGGCCCCAATCGTTCCTTTTAGTAGGCTTTGGGAACCGGCCACGGAGGTGAGACCATCCGCTTAAACCATTCGGAAACGATCGTGAAATAAGACACTCCAAACGCCACACCGTAACGTGCAACCCAAACTCCCACCATATGTCCCGAATAACGCCAATATATGCAACTATCTTTTCAACTTTCGATTGCAATGCTCTCGGCAACAGCCGGCCCATCGCTACTGGGTCTCCTGCAGCATCTGACACTCGAATCTTGCTCTAACTGCCGGGCTCCTCACGCTTGTGGCACCTTGGCGATGTTCTACAACTCGCCTGGCAGCCAGCGCACCCTGCAGGAGGACGACGGCGGGACGCCCAGTCGGCTCTCAAAGCCCCACGGCAGCGGCGGCCAGCGTCACGGCCGTTACCATGGAGACGATTACACTGGCGGAGGACCGTGGGACAGTGGACGCCAGTACGCGGCTCCGCCTGCCTGGCCCATGTAGATCGCCTGACGGAGCTGGGAGCCGTTGTTTGGCTAGCTGGGGAACCATCCGATATGAATCAGAAACCCTCGGCTGCATGATGGAAACGGTCGGAGAGACCATGAACTGTGCGCGTGACTCTGGGTAGAGTGGAGGGGCAGAGGGTGGAGAGGAGGGCAAGCTGGGCCCCGAGACTTCGCCCGCCCTTGTGTGTTGATGCTCGCTGGAAGAGATCCGTGTTCCCAGGTCAGCTGGACCGGTGTTTTCTGACACTGGTTAGCTCACCGGGGTCGATTGGACTCTTGTGTTGACCTGGCCGGCTTGATTCATGGGCCCCGGCGTATGTGGCATATTTTGATTAGCCGCGGCGAAGGTCGACTGATGGACGGCGTTGGCCGCGCAGCGCTCGGCCAAGGCTCGAACGCTTTGTGTCGGCAGTCATAAGCTCTCTGTGTGTTTGTTCCAAATAGCATGAGCATGTTCTCATGCTGGCTGTGATTTGAAGTGGATTGCTGGAGACGTTCTCGTCAACGAACTGTCATGTGGACTGTGACATTTCACGCGCTGTGTCGTAGACCAACGATGACATGCCCCGCTCTGCTCTCTTCGAGTGTCCGTCATCTAACCACTGCTGCGCCCAATGACCGCATTACTCAAACTGGACGCCGTCGCGTGTGGTCACAGTAGGTTCAGTAGGTAGTAGTAAGACAGGTTGTAGCACTGTCTGAGACGCATGTTCTCCGCCGGCTTTTTGATAGCCGTTCCCTTTTAAGGGACAGGACAAACGCGAAACATCGTTTAGGCTTGTGATTCAGACTAGCCACATTCTAGCACACATCAGTAAGTACTCAGGTTGTAAATTGATGACATCAGGAGAAGGGTGTAAGCTGTATTCGGTGCCAGCCTCACCCGGTATGGGCCAGCCAGACATTCATGACTCACAATTCACGACTGCGCCGTGGCAGATTCACGATAATCCTACACAATAGAGACAGGAGAAGGGACCCCGCTGAACCCGGTGCAGGAGTGCCACAGATATGCGACCTAACCCGGACGGACCACTGCTTTGTATGCGCGCGCGCGTGCGGGGTCGCTTGGGATGCGATCCGGTGTTGGCGGGGATCTGGAGACCTGTGATAGTCGTCACAGGCAGCGGTGACCCAGCAGAATGTACGCTGCTTCGGACTGTGAGGTGGATACTCTAGAAACGCTGCCACCTCTCCAAATGTGAATTAAGGCTTGGGGGGGGGGGGGGACTGGGGCTGAACGCATCACTTATGGAATCTCGGAAACCAGCCGATAGTTTGTGGGCATATGAAGCTCGTCAGTATCGCGCATAAGCGCATGCTTTCCTATCATTTCGTGAAAGCCAGACGTAGGTTAACCACGGTCCAGAAGGTGAGTTTTTGAGAGTAAACTATTATTTTCAGTGTCTTAATTCACAAAATTACCTCCGACGGGAGCTGCACAGTTTAGTTGAGTCATATGTCGTGGTAATCTACAAGCCATTGCTGTTGTTCACCCGCCTGGTCGAAGACGGAGTTTTGATACAGCTTGATTCGACGCGCACGAATATTGGAACTTGTCGAGGGACTGCATGGACTTCGCCGGCAGGGGCAACAAGCATAGTGTTGTAGCTCATCCCGGGTGATGCAACATGTCCCGTTTGTGACCTGTCAAACATCAATGCGAAGGCACTGGATCAAAGACGGCTCATAGGGGGAGGGGAAGGCAAAGACCATGTCATCTTGGGCTGGAAAGTTTTCACACTGAACACCTAGCTTCCGCTTGCTGACGTTTTGTAGAACATTTGTGACGAACGAGCGTTTTGTAGAACTGCGTGCCTGCACATTCCCCTTGCCACAATTGAGCTGAAGCCGATTTTCGTTTGCACGCTTATCTGATAAATCCAAAGGCACTACTTGGAAATGTCGTCATAATCGCTGTGATATACCGATAATTCGGGCCGGTGGGCAAGAAACGAGCTCAGCCCAGTAGAAACGGCGATTTGCCGACTGGCCACCAATCCACGATTAGCAAGTGGGCACCGATAGAGGCGACACTTTCAACAAACACACAAATATTTGGAATCCGACAGTAATTCTACCCTTGCGAGTTGGGAGGTCTTATGCTGACAACAATCGGCCTTCAGGATACCAGAAGACACCAGTTAACCGACGTTATTAGGCAAGCGATGGTGATTGACAAAACTTGACGTTCAAGGCTGTGTTCATGGTCTAGTTAGAGGACGTTATTAGGCAAGCGATGACGA